TTCACTTAGCATAATACTCTCCAGGTCCATCCATGCTGTTGCAAAGGGTCTTAGAGATGTGGGGAATATGGAGAGCTTGATAAAATGTATAAACTTTCAGTTATAAAATAAATAAGATCTGAATATAACATGGTAACTACAATTGATAACACTGTATTATATAATTAAAATCTGCTGAGGAAGTTAAAATTTGCTGAGAGAGAAGAACTTAATGGCCTCACATGTATGATGGATGTGTTGATATGATGGGAGGAGGAATCATTTCACAATGTAGATGTACATTAAATCATCATGTACACTTTAAATATTTTATTTAACTATACATCAAAAACTAAAAAAAAATAAAGAAAAAGAAGAAAGTAAGCTCATCCCAGGTGATTGGAAGAAAGTGAATATCCTCTCATAATATAACTTCTCCATTTATTTATAACCTTTTAGTTACTCTTCTAAGCCATCTCTATTGATAAGTGTTTGTAGCAGGTAATGATAAATTTTTATCTTAGGTTCATTTTTTTCTCCTTAGAAGATATCTTAATGATAACTATCATATATAATAAAAGGGTAACATGCAAATCTATTGGGTGGAGGAAGAACTGGTTACTATGATGTGCAATGACCACCAGGGGGCACTCAACACTGGAGCTGCCCTCTGGTGGTCAGAGTACTCCCACAGGGGGCGCGCTGCTCAGCCACAAGCCTTTCTGACCACTGGAGAACGCAGCAGCCCTACTCTGCAGCAGCGTTAAGGATGTCCAACTGTGGCTAAGGCCTGGGGGGAGTGGGCCATGCCACAGTCAGACATCCCCCAAGGGCTCCTGGACTGTGAAAGGGCTCTAGTATCTATATAATAGGTTATGCCTTTCCTAACTATTAAGCAACAAATGTCAGACCATTTGTTTTTTAAAAGATTGAGCAAATCTATAAAATATGACAGCCTCAAAAACATCTCTATAGGCCAGCTGGTGTGGCTCAGTGATTAAGTATGGACTTATGAACCAGGAAGTCATGATTCAATTCCAGGTCAGGGCTCATGTTCAGGTTTTGGGCTCTATCCCAGTGTGTGGTGTGCAGGAAGTAGCCAATCAATTATTCTAAGTGCTCACTGAAGTTTCTCTCCTTCTCTCTCTCTCTTTCTCCCACTTTCTTTCTGAAATCGATAAAAATATACTTAAAAAAAAGACATCTCTATATAACACTGTTTTTTTGTAGGGATGTCTGAAATAGACATTGCTCAAAGCAAAAAATAATTATGGTAAAATAAATCTACTTGATGAGGATGGTTCTCATTCTGAACCTTTAGTCTACACAACATAAATTGAAAGGCAGATTGGTTTTCATCTAGATTATTTTAGCAAAAGAAATAACAAATAATTTTGTTCTCTAGATAAAGGTCTCTAAAATGTCCAAAATTAACATTATAAAATAATAACATTATTTGGTCTGATATTTAACCAAACAAATGTTCTACATGGAGCTATTGTTTAAAATTTTTTTCTGTCAATTGTTTTATCGCTACATAAATTCACTCGGTGCTAGGCAAATAGCAGAATTTATTTATCCAACTATTCAATCAACATTAGCTAGTACAAGGTATTTTATTTATGTGTTTACTATTTATTGACTATTGTCATCTGTATCTTATGGAAAATGAAGTAGAATGCATTATTTCTGACTTTAAGAGCTTTGTAGTCCAGTAGAGAATAAAAAGAATACACACACAGAAAGAAGCTATCAGATTTCATTAACAAATAAATACTAGAAATGAAAGAGTTGGATTGAAAAGAGGGCACAAAGTGAGTCAGAGTAGCCATAAAAGACTCTAATTAGAAGATAGATGGAGATCAGGGTTAAATAGCAGCACAAAGACTCCATAGGAGAATTGCTTGAATCTAGTCCCAGCAATAAATACTTTGGGCTAGCTACTGTGATGCGTCTATGCAAGGGACAAAATTAGATATCTTAGAAATGATGAAATATTATTAGTTATAATATTACTATAAAAATATAATATTATTATTTTAATCCTCAAGTGATCTGTAAAAAAAAAGTCTCTTTTCTAACATTCCTTTCTCCTAGATATTTTCAACTTGATAGAATCAAATAACTGCTGATACAGCCTAGAGAAGTCTAGGTATTTTATATCTGGAAGGCACATAATACCTATTAAATAACAGATACATTAATGATATGTATTAATCTTGTTGTTGGCAAATTGAGGCTCACGAGCCACATGCGGCTCTTTGGCCCCTTGAGTGTGGCTCTTCCACAAAATACTATGGCCTGGGCAAGTCTATTTTGAAGAAGTGGCATTAGAAGAAGTTTAAGTTTAAAAAATTTGGCTCTCAAAAGAAATCTCAGTCATACTGTTGATATTTGGCTCTGTTGACTAATGAGTTTGCTGACCACTGTACTAATCTATGACACCTTTAGCCTTTATGCAAATGAGAAAAAACATCCTTGCATTAGTTGTCCTCAATGCAAAACAGAGTTGGGGATGCTTTCTGCCAGTTGTAACATCTTGATAGTAGTGTTTTAGGGTGAGTGTAGTGGGGATATATATATATATATATATATATATATATATATATATATATATATATATATATATATATATCTGTCCGTTTGACCAGTAGCTGTGACTTGCACTGACCACCAAGTGGCAGACACTCAATGTAGGACCTGCCATGAAGTGCATTGGCCATTTAAAAATAAACGGCACCGCAGACTTTGTGTCCACAAAGCAACACTTGGCTTCTCCTAAGTGGGACACAGGCCCCACCACCACCCTGGAGCAATATCCTACCAAATCACAGTAACACTGATGAGATCCCATGGCACAAAATGCAGAACACAGCCCAGCTCAGCCCGGAAACGGTCACTATGAGCACCAGGTAATGAAGCCACGTAGCAGTGCCCAGCTTCCTCTTCCCGGCAACGAGCCTCCTTGCAGTTTCTTCAGCCCAGGAACACAATTTGCTTTATATCCAGGTGCAAACATTTTGCACTTTAACCAAATGTCTGTGAAGCATTTTCCCATGCCTCATATGATTTGATCCTCACAGAAGTCCTGGAGTAGAATCCTATTTTCTTTCCATTAGCCAGAAAACAGAGGTTTAGAAAGTTTAGAAACTTGACCCTACTGAAAAGAAGTAAAAAATGGTGGACCTTGAAAATGACTTCAGGTTTTTTCACTGCACAGAATATAGTCAAACACTGCTGCAGTTAAATATTTTATCCTTTGTTCTCCATGTGTAACCTATAATAATAATCTGCTTCATGTTGTTATTTACTGCTGTGTTTCTGACAATTACCTGAAAGAGAAGTTGGGGGGTGCTTTACTGGGCTGGAAAAAGTTTAGCTACATCAGAAAGCAGGTCTAATTAAGCAAGTTTATTCTATATAGAGAAAAGGCAAAGTTGACTCATGCATGCATGATACATATAAAGCTCTCGCTGGTGCCACATGCATGTGTATCAATCTGTCATTGTTGATCATGAATTTGGTTGACACTTCTATTATAAAGGGAGAATAACAATATTAAAGTATTTCTAATTGATTTCCTTTTAATGTGCACAAATCTATGCACTAGGACACAAGTGAAAAATAAAACTGTACAGAGAAGAGTATGGAGACCAAATAGCTCCCCTTAAGAAGTTTCCCTGTGAGAAAAATGACAGCTCTTGCTCTTGAAGAGTGAAGTGCTTTGATAGACTAATTGTATGTTGAATTAATGAGTGCTATACTTGTCTCCTGAGTGATGGTGGTAGTGTACATTATATTTCAAAGCTGTCATCTACTGATCTGTACTGTATGTCTATGGCATTTATGTGAACTAAAAAGTCACTGAAAGTCAATTTTGAACTCTATTCCAAAATTGTCTTTTAAATACTTATCTAAAAATATTTATACATTGTCTAAGAAAATCAATTATTCAGAGGCTAAATACATGCTTCTATAAAAATAAATACATGGCATTCTCATCACAATTAGAGATAAAAATAGGCATTGTAATGTAAATGCAATATACAATTCCTTTTGAAACACACCAAGCTGCTACTAGGAATAAAGGAACAGTTTCAAATTATTCATTCTCTAATCTGAGGTATTCCCTGAGTAATTACACTGTGCTGTATCCATTATTATTAGGCTTTCAATTCACACCTTATATTATGAATTAAGAAAAATTTAAGTATTTTAAAACACACACACACACAAACTTGGGCCTTCTTTCTCCAACCTGAAGTATAATTTTAGCATGTAGTTTTTCAAAAAAGCACAAATCTATATTCTAAATCATCAAAAAGCACGCAAACTTTATTGAATATGTTTAGAGAAGCTAAGGGGTAATCACATCATACATCACTCAGGAAATCTAATCTTATTGAATAGCTGTTTTTGTCTCTAAAGTTTAATTCATCAGAAATAGTAGCTAATCCCCGATATCTTTCTTTCTTGTTCCTTAAGACAGGATCCTGCCTCTCCCTTCTTCCCACTCATCTCCCTCTTCCCCAGGGAGCTCCATGGCCGTATTTGCTTTTTATAATTTTCTGTTCCACACATCACAAAATTAGCACAACAGAGAAAACAGAGATTTTCCCCAAGAAACTGGAAGGAAAAAAACAAACAAAACCTGTCAATAATCAAATATTTTTGAATGCTCATACATCTTCAAATATTGGGGGGAAATGTTATCTCATGGTATGAACTGCATAAATCCTTTTTTCTCCCATGTAGTATCCAATTAATTGTTCAGAGTGAGTATGGTAATTTTTCCAAGTCTATGCTTTTTAATGTAGTATTAAGGTTAAATTTGAATTGCAAAGTATCATAGATACTGAAATCACTAACTTAACAAAACCTTGGAACTGGATTACTTCATACCAGGAGAAAGTATGCATTTTTCCTCAGGGTTACTCAATATTTTTCAGTTTTAATATTACTTTCACTATGCTCTAGTTTAAATTTTGATAATTAAAATATTAAATTAACTGTACTATTACCATTGTTGTCTCTTGAATGGATCCAAAACTGTTGATAAAAATGTTTACTACTACATCAACAGGAATACCTGTAAATAAAATTAAAGATATATTTAGTAGCTGTAAAAAAAACTTGGTCAGAATCTACATATTTCATAGTCTATGCATTTTCTTTTATATTTTTCCTAACTCACATATGATGTAAATTATAAATTAGTGGTCTCAGTATACCATATTCACAATTACTACTAACTTATTTTTCTAAATAGGGATCATAATGCAAATAAAAAATGAGTTAAGTTGTATTTTATAATGTTATTTTTTCAGAAATAGTTACCTATTAAATTGTAGAGACTCTGAGAAAATATATTTATTTATCTTTCAAAATTTTCTAAATTGGGTTGATGCATTTACTTAAGAAAATGTAAATTATCCTTTACAAAGCATCATTTAAAATATTGTTTACTTTATAAAAATGTGTATAATCATCAGAAGTTCTTACTTGCTTTGGTAAGTAATATTCAGTGGATTTCACTTACATATACTCTCCTTTTCTTTCTAATTCATGCAATTGCAAAATTAATCAGACATATAAGAGTCATTATAAAGATTTTTGCCTGACCTTTTAGAAAGTAATTTGAAAGTTCATGGAGTGAGAACTAAGGTATAATGTTGCAAATTTCTTTCTTGCTTTCTTTTTTCTTTACTCTTTGTGGGCTGCTGGTTGGGCTAACAAAGGGAAAATGTGAATTTAGCCTTTCAGCCACATAACCACTGGCTGATGAAAAACAGGTGGTGAATCAATATATGCTAGACATGTGACAATCCAGGCCATGGCTGTTGTTGAAAGTAACTGAATAGGTTCTGGTAATGAACAAAAAACCCTGTTTTTACAACATAGTTGTATAACTTCAGTTGACTAGAAGCAGCTGCAGACTTTTTTTTTTTTTTTCTGTGAAGGAAAAAAAATCAAGCTTTATACTGTTAATCTGATCTACATTAATACCTGTTCTTAGGATTATAGTTTTTGAGAGGAGATTTTTTTTTTCATATTGCTTTTCTAACTCATCAAGAGAACAAACACGTAAAAATTAAAGCAAGAAAAAGAAAAAAAAAGTTTGCTCCCTTATATAGTCTTCTCATGACTTTCATAGCAAGTAGGGATTTTGTTCTTGGCAGGTGTGATAAAGAGTAGTATTTTTTTGGAATAAAATCAATCCATGTTGTAGAAAACAGCCTTTTAAGTACTTCAGAGGCTAAATACATGCTTCACTATTATTCACACATGTGGCTCTTTTTTGAGCAAAAGAGCAGAAGAAAAAATGTTTTATCAGTATGAAAGGCTAGAAAATGTAAAATAATAATAATAATAGAAATCAGAACATTTCTCTATTTCTAATGAGTATATGGCCACTTTCCTACAAACTATAACTTTGATGCCTGTGAATGAAAGCCAGTTCTGCAACCAGAGCCTAAATTTTGAATCATAAGGTTAAGAATACTAAGTACTCAAAAACCCATTACAGAGGCTAGCCTGTTAATTCACAATATACCTTTTTATACAAACTGGGGAGCATAAACTATTAGATTATTATTTTGCCTATTTTTGAACATGCATACCAATTTGCAATCTTGTTTTTAACATCACAACTAAATTATTTCATACTATAAAATTAATTTTTAAATTATAAAGAAGTAGATACTTGAGGGGGAAAAAAACAAACCTTTGAAATTTGGTCTTATCCTGGGATCATAACTGACTAGTAGCCTATTCAAGATATTGCTAGTGGAGTTGGCAGGGACTCGGGCTAGATCCTCTGGTGACTGCTGGCTGTAAGAGAAAAGAACAAAACAAAATCCTGATAAGTATTTAGAAATGGCAATCAAGAGGAATGGGTAATTTTCAGTGAAGAAAAGACTTGGCTTCTTGAGACAAATCTACAATTATGGCATGGAGTTTCCAAAGAGAAGTTAAATGAAAAGTAGTAGACATTGTCAGTAGGCTGAAATATATGTGCCATGAGAAATAAAACCAATAGTAAAGTACTTTAGGCCTGATTTTTACCAAATGAGTGAAACACTGTCTACTCCAACTTTCTTTTAAGTAAAATTAAGCAGACATCTTACTTGTTCTGAAGCAAGCTTCAATCAAAATCTAGATAAGCACCAAGGGAGTACAGACAATGAGATAACAGCAAAAGATGTGTCTTTTTTTAATAATGTAGTATAATATTAACGTTCTGCATGCACAAGCAAGGGAGTATGTGGATACCATAAGAGGGCCACAAAGATAATCTAAGAATTTTAAAAAATCATGCTGATATTTATGAAATGATATTTTCCAAGAAATACACAATAATGTTCTCCAGTTAAATATGTTGGAAGAGGGTGTGAAAATAAATATAATATAAAATATAAAAATAAAGGAATAAATATAAATATAATATGAAATAAATATAATATAAAAATAAAGGAAGCCGCATTTAAAATGGAGTTTAAAAGCCCTGAAGGGGGAGCTCTCATGCAAGTACCACTTCTTGCAGCCAAAAAAACCAGCAAGAAGGGAGGACCTTTTTCACTTTGGGTTCTATCTTCTGCTTTTATAAAAAGGAAGATCTCCTTGCCCCAGCAGCAGCACATTAACCACCCCTTGCAGATCTATGAAAAACCACCAGCACCTTGAACTCTTGCTTTCCCATGAACAACCCTCCCCAATTTCCTCCTAAAACCTAATAAGAGCTAACATTCCCTTTGTCTCTTTGGACTTGCCTACGGTTCGCCTGTCCCAAATTGCAACTTTCTGCTATTCCCAAATACACTCAACTGCCAATAAAACAACTGGCTGTTTTTATTTTTGAAGATGACAGTTCATCCTCCATTATCAGATCAGTTAAACAGGGAAAATACAGAGCTACAAGACACAACTATCTATTTCTATTTTATGTGTTTACTGTCAATGATTAAAAAGAGAAAAATACTATCATATGTTTCTCTTCAAATTAACTTTGAACAATGAATCTTGATTAAATTGGCAGTTGCTTGACAATAATTTAAACACACACACACATTGACAATACTTTAAAAACACACACACATTGGAAACCAATGGAAAATGTTCGGTAATTATTTGTTTGGGTTTGTTTTAACACCCATGAACTCTTATCATATAATCATTTTCCCAATACAAAAAAAACAACAACAATGAGAATCACAAGGAAGATTAAAATTATATTTGGAGCATCTAGCACTGTCCATTCATTATTGATACGATAAATGTCAATTTCATAAATGATATTCATTTATATGAATCAAAATTGGGTGTATTGACCAGGGATTTGTTTTGAAATCTTAGCTCTTATCTATCAGGCAATTCTGTTCTAAGTCAATTATCATCACAGTCTGCTGCTAAGATTCAACCACTAGAGGTAAGATGTGATCAATATTAAAAAATTTATGAAAAATCTAACAATAATACAAATTGACAAACCTCTTCCAAGTAGCTATCAGACAGAGTCCAAAATATTTTTAAAAAGTGAAAATCAAATTAGTTAAATCTCTCCAAATCGCAGGAGATTATAAAATACTTTAAAATTGTTTCTCATGGTCTTATTAGATCAAAGTTGCAGAGAATTGGAACTGGTAATAAGATTTCATTTCATTGCAGGTGAAATTGTAACCTCTTTAAAGCCAACTGTCACGCCTTATCAAAGAAAACTTTAAAGAGAAGGAAGGCATGGGATATTAGAATGCAAATTAGTGTTCAAACTCACAAGATTTCTATTCATAAGATGAGAAGATAATTGACCAATTACAAAATACACATATTGGTTCAATTAAAGAGTGCTATTATTGTGCCTCTTGATATAAAATCTTTCTTAAGTATCTTTCTTCTAAACAATGAAATGACTAGACAGCATAAAGACAATTAACACTAGTTTTTGTAGTATAGAACTTTCCAGCCTGATTTTTTTTTCTTCCAGCTGTGAAAACTGGCAGAATATGCCACCCTACAATAAACCCCTTTGTCATAAGGACTATTTTGAGCTAAAGATACTTGGAAAACAGCAAATGAAGGGAGAGGCCTTCTCTGAACTCTCCTTATATGCCAAATAAACAGATCCTCCAAAATGAATTAAGTAATCATAGACCCCCCACCAAAAAACAAATTTCAACTAGGAAAGACTGACTTTTATCACAGGAGGGGAGAGTAGAAGTGGACAGCACACCAGACAAACTTTGTAATAAAATATCATACTTTTCTATGTTTTTAAAATAGCCAGTTCATCTTTCCTAGAGATCATTTATTCTCCCTTAAGTGGCCTGCATTGCCCACATCCCGCCCCCATCCCCACCCCCATCCCGTTAAGATGATATATAAGCCAGTCAGCATAGCTCAGTGGTTGAGCACTGACCTATGAACCAGAAAGACATGACTTGATTCCCAGACAGGGATATGCATGGATTGTGGGTTTGATCCCCAGTGTGGGGCATGCAGGAGGCAGCTGATTAATGATATTCTCTCATCATTGATGTTTCTATCTCTCTCTCCCTCTTCCTACTTTTCTGAAATCAATAAAAATATATTTAAAAAATAAAAATGTTTTTTTAAAAAAGATGATATATAAGCTCTCAAATCTCACTATTTTGGGGGGTATTCACTTTTGTTGTTGTTGTAATGTCCTTGTGCATATAATAGTAAAAATTACGTTTGAATACCTTTTCTTTTCTTAATCTGCCTATTTCCAATTTACTTAATCGACCCAACTATAAACTGTAAGCTATGTCAATCAAACTCATTTTCTAGCTATTCTAATTCACTAGCAAATTTTGTTTTTCCTTTATTCACTGGTTCAGAATAAATTCCCCTTCCTGGAATATTGTAATTTCAAACTCCTACTGTATTAATCTAAAGCCAAACCATTTTTCAAGATTGGCTTTCTAAAATCTTGCATCAATCATCTCACCTTACTCTAATGAGAACAAACTGATAAATATGCATTGCCAATTAATTTGTAGTTATTGATTTTAGCGAGTGAGAAAGGGAGAGGGATAGAGAGAAAGAAACATCCATCAGCTGTCTCCCTTACACTCCCTACCGAGGATCGAGCCTGCAACCCAGGCATGTGCCCGGACCAGGAATCCAATCAGGAACTTCCTGGTTCATGGGTCAGTGTTCAACCACTGAGCTACACCAGCCATGCTATAGTTTTTCTTACATGTATATTACCAGTGAGACGACGCAGACAGTATAATACTTGAGGAAATAATGGCTTCTGCATTTTTGTAATAACCCTGTACAGCTTATATCGTATCAAATATACATTGGGTTCAAGTCCTTTACATCTGCCAGGTCTGTAACTAGACTTTAGACTCAAGATAGCTGCATGTGCTGTAGCAGTAGCAGTTACACTCATCATTTCCAGATGAGGAAGAGCGTTTATTCCTGTGGTGTCCTCTTAGAAGACTTTTATTTTTTTCCTCTCAGAAGACTTCTAGCATTGAACATTGCTGAACCAATCATTGGCCATGAGGAAGAAACAATCATCATTGACTCGGGTTATAGTCTGGTATGAAATAGATATTGGAAAATCAACCATCTTGTCCATTAAACTCTTGTATTTGATAATCCCTACTACTTGCTTAAAGAGAGATTAGCCACACAGAGAACCATTAATTTAGTGAAGTGAAAGAGAAAAGCCAGATTCGTAGGAAAGTGAGTGGTAGGTGAGTAAATGAAGCAATAGAGTATATGGTATACTAGTACATGGAAATGAAGACACAGTAAAATTAAGACAGTTTTCTAAAGTGGTAGAGTCAAGAATGAAACCTGATAATCCAGATTTCTAGTTATTATTTGACAATAAGCCTGCCGTCATAGAAAAGAAATACTATCTATCTTCTTATTATCATCCATCTATAAATTGTTTTATATTGCTTTATTTAGGACAATAATCTCTATTATATAAACCCTAAATTCTACTAGTCTTACTAGTTTTTAAAATTATTTAGTCCTGGAAAAAGTGTCACTCTTTTACCTAGCTATCTCCAAATGCTTGTATTTTTCTCCAAAGTGAATAACAACAACTAATGTGGCTCAGTGGTTGAGTGTCAACCTATGAACCAGAAGGTCAATAATTGATTCTTGGTCAGGGCATATGTCTGGATTGTGGGCTCAATCCCTAGTATGAGGTGTGCAGGAGGCAGCTAGTCAATGATTCTCCTCATTGATGTTTCTATCTCTCTTTCTTTTTTTTCTCCCTTTCCCTTCCTCTCTGAAATAAATAAAAATAAATTTTTAAATAATCTTAAGTGTTAAAAACAAAAACTCAGTGTTGGCTGACAAAAACAACCTCTTGAATTAAAAAAGGGAATACATCAAATATACTGTAGCCCATTTTATTCTTATTTCATCATTGTATTTTCATGTCTCTGATGCAAGTGCCCTGATACAAATATTCACCCTTCTTTATATTATCATTTCAAAGACATTTTTAAATTTAAGTGAAATTCATGTAGTTTATATTCACATAAATTTAGGGATTTTCATACCCTAAAAATTATATATTTTGCCTAGTCAATACTAAAATAACTTTAAAGTCATCTCTAAACATTAAAAACACACACATTTTTAGTGCCTAGATACCTATGCCACTTTCTTCCAAAGAGCTAAAACAATTTGCATGTAGCATATTTTCCTCTATCTGTACTTGCCTATACATAACCTCATAATTTGGAAATGGACCAGTACTATTTATACAAAATAAGCACAAATAAGAAGAGTTAAATGATTTTAACAAGGTCACACACTTAATGCCTTTCACTATTAGAGTT